ATCCCTACTAATATTATAAATGTGAATGTAAGTTTGTTTGTTACGCTTTCACGCGAAAACTACTTAACCGATCATCATGAAACTTTGTACACATATTCTTGGAGGTATTAGAAGTAACATAGGATACTTTTTATTAAAAAAATATTTTTTACGAAATATTTTCTATATTTATTTACCCGCGAGCGAAGCCTACTAATAATAATAATCCCTACTAATATTATAAATGTGAATGTAAGTTTGTTTGTTACGCTTTCACGCGAAAACTACTTAACCAATCATCATGAAACTTTGTACACATATTCTTGGAGATATTAGAAGTAACATAGGATACTTTTTATTAAAAAAATATTTTTTACGAAAGATTTTCTATCACTCTGCGAGCGAAGCCGCGGGTAAAAGCTAGTTCCTTATAATTATTGCAGGACTGAAGGATCTAGCTGGACTTAATCCACACTGTATTTGAATGTTGACATTTGATATTAGTGGAAAAACATTATTAAGCAAGTATATCTGCTCCCACCATGCGTCTTCTTCATATTTAGCCAGAATATCATCGAGAGGCTTACTATAATCGTAATTTTCTTCATCACTTAAATTAGCGGAAACCACTCATTTTGCATACAGCATACTGGCTCGACGAACTAGCTCAAACTAAATGACGCTGGTGTTCTCGATCCAGCTGTTATGTTTCTTATCAAGCCCCAACCACTTCACGAATACTTTCCCTTCTTTTCTCCTTAGTACCTTTTCTACGAGATAGATGTCGGGGCTGGCGGTTTTCTGTAGCTCCTAAGTATAGAAGGCACTTCTTATAGGATTTCCCTGCATATATTCCAAGAGGTATGTCGCTGGATTAGTTTTTTTAACCTACGTAATTTTAAATAGTTCGGTCGTCCAATTGGGCGTGTAACCCTTATCAAAGACGTGCTTATTTTTGCTCATGCGCACAACGTTACCCACTTTGAATTTTTGCGGTCCGCTTATCTTAATATGATTGTATGCAGACTTTAAAATTCTCTCTTCGTTGGACTTATTTACTTGAGACGTCTTGTATCCCGTGGTGCGATGTCGGGTTTCGTTGTAGGATTTCGTAATTTCTGGTAATACATTTATCCATTTATATGTACCGTTTAGGCTAAAGTAATTGTACAGCTTTGATTTCAAAGTTCTTATTTTCGGCAATGGTGGCTTTTTTCACGCTGAACGTATTGTAATGATTAATATCATGCTTCTTGAGGAAGTGCTGGAATTTTTGGTTGAAGAATTCCGTGCCCTGATCCGTTTGTAGATTTATACAGATTCTACCTTTGCTGTGAGCTAAAATGTCATCAAAGACAGTGGTTATCTCTTCACCAGTCTTTGTTTTTAAAGGTCTAGTCCACAGGAACTTTGAGAAAGAGTCTATGACGACCATAATCATTTTAAAATTTTTGTTGTAGTGGGCGTACTGACGCATATCAGCCAAGTCCATTTGCCACAGGTCATCAAGCCCCTTGATAATCGTTCGTCTGCGAGCATAGTTTTTTATCATAGGCTTATGTAATTCATTAACAAGTTGAATCTTTTCCTTTGAATGCGTCTTCATGTCTCTACTAATCGATTTGCACTAAGATAGTCTGCGTTATTTATGGGTTATTTAAAGAGGATCCATGATGTGATGCGACGATAAGTTTTCCATATGAAAGGGTCATCTGGTTCTCTACTATATGCATACGTTCTTCCAGAGCACTATACTTCTTCTCGATGTCTTTAAATTTCTTCATAATGTATTCTTTATGTTTACCAAGTTCCGCTTGAATGTCATTTTGCAATTTTGTAACATCTTTTTGTAATTTTACAGCAACAGTGTGTACAATTTTTTTCTCCAAGTCGTCAACTTCATTTTTTAAAGAATTACTTAACAAATTTAATTTATTGTCAAATACTTTAATTATTTCTTTGTGTAATTTCAACATCTCATCATTAACGATTTCTGATGTTTTTTTATTAACTACGTCATTATCTTCAAGAGGCGAACTCATATTACATATTCTCAAGTTACGAAGGTGAATATTTCCATCGGGAGTAAACGAAAACCCAATTGCATGAGGTATATGACGCTCGTTGAAATCGCGTTGACGATGAGAGCTACGTCCGAATTTATCGAGACTCATCGTGTAAAATGATAAAAAATCGTTTGGTAAACAACTTTATAGTATTTGATNATACAACCCCGGTGTTCCTTTAAATTGCTGACCATCGATTACTATATTACCGGTACGAATGTCAAAATCGATCCGTTTTCGACCGAGTAGCCACGATGACGTTGAGGAATCGTATACTGGTCCATAATTCTTATCAATTACATCACTCTCAGCCCAATGCTCTGTAACGTTTTGAGATATGACAGGATATTGATCTAAATATTCTTCTAGAGCTTCCTGAGTTAAATCTTCCAATCGAGTTTCTTGCTCCTCTTCAAATGTTCTATCATCGTTATCATCATCATCATCATCATCATCAAGTCTAGATGACGATGCTATGTCTTCCAACGGTAAAAAGGCTGTTTGGTTGAATGTAGACGGTTTTTCTTCTTCTTCTTCAACCTTTTCTTTTTTCTCCTCTTTCTTAATGATAGGGAACTTGACAATTTTTTCGTTTAACTTGTGTGATGTGCTGGCTATTTCTTTTAACGGCGTAGAAATTGGTTTAAAGAGTTTTTGCAGCGCCTCATCTTCCTCCGTTTTACCTAGCTTTAAAGCCAAGTACTTTCGCTTGATTGATTTTGCGAGCTCGTTGATTTTTTTCTTTCGCGCCGTCTTGGTGATGACGTCTTCAGCCGTTGGATTCATTGCGATTAATGATAGCGCTCGTTAGTTACATCCTTATATATTTATCGAAACCTTTACGATATCTACCGTCTTGTGGGTTGAAATCCTTCACAATAACCATGATTCCGTACTTATCAACCCATCATTCTGAGCAGCATTTCTTAAATTGATCGAAAGTCATGTCGGGGGACACGTGTTCCTCGTAGACATGTTTCAGATTTACTTCATCTTGCTTGAAAAGAACTATTAAGTTGCAATTATCTCGAATAAGTTGTTTCGGTATCTTGGAATATGTCTGACATAGGTAGGCCGCGTCGATATTCTTGTGTCTACACATGGAGTAGTATTCACGTATCTTTTCCTGTTTATCGCACGCCACATCGTCGAATATGAATATGGAATTGTACCGAGCGTCTGTTGGACTAATTATTTCGTCACTAGCCCCATATGGAAAGTACCCAATTTCTTTCACTTTACTCAAGACGTCTCGCAACAGCTGATATTTAGGCTGGTATAGGGACTTTGAGTAGACGTAGACGTTTTCAAATTTGGCACCATTCGGATGAAATAGAAGCGATAATATTACGTTGGTCTTCCCGCAACCACTGGGACCACATACGACACATCTAAACGAATTCGGCAGCAACGAACCATGTCTGCTTACAATAGCAGGATTTTCATCAAAATCCAAGTTTTCTATTGGTAGCGTCCGCTCTTGTTGAACTACCTTCATGGTTTGAAGTCGTCCGTCAAGCTACTTCCTATAAATACAAGTGTCTCTATCGGCTTACATCATTTCTAATGCCGCTGCGATACGGTGAAGGTGTGTTAAATTCGCTAATAGATAAACTACCATTTGAATTACATATTCCAGGTGGATATCAATTCTGCGGACCAGGTAACTAGAGTAAATAATATTAATAATAAATTTAACTACGTTTTTTCTCTTCATTAGGAACAAAACTTGAGAAACGCTTAGCCAAAGGTCAAAAGGGCATAAATCCTTTGGATTCCGCTTGCCGTGACCACGATATAGCATACGCTCGAAATAAGTCTGTAGAAGATAGACATAAAGCCGATTGGGTGTTGGAGAATAGAGCTTGGGAACGCGTTAAATCTAAAGACGCAAAACTAGGAGAAAAAGCAGCCGCTTGGTTCGTAACTACGGCTATGAAGGCGAAACGTTATCTCGGAATGGGTTTGAAAAAGAGTGGACAACGACGACGTCGTCAACCCGCATCGTTCCGCAGAGACGCAAACAGTTCACAGTTTACTTACGACGGTCAGATACTTATCAGCGGGAAGATTACAAAGGTTGGTAATGGAGGTGTATCGTTCGTAAACAACAGTGGCCTTTATGTTTTCATCAGCCACATACGAAATAAACGCCAAAGAACTGGAAAGTATACGTGAAGTTGGTCTAGTGAGCACCGTTCGCGGATACTTGTGTTATTCCGATGAGGATTCCAAGCACTTATCTATAGCCGAATGGAATTATCCCGATGCACCAACTCTAAACGGCGATGGAACTTTTAATTTCCTCGTCCCGTTGAAGCATATTTTCAATCTTTTCAACGACTACCGCATGGTAACGTGTAGCAAGCAATGTATCAAACTGATAAGAGCCAGTAACGATTCCAATTGTTTCTTGGTTAAGGAGAAGGTGGCTACCGATAAAAATACAGTTACTCTGGATATTCAAAATATTGAGGTTAAAATTAAACGGCTATACCCTAACGACGATATAAAACTTAGCTTACTAAAAGCCATCAAAGCTGATACGCCCATATTGATACCGTATAGACAATGGGATTTGCATATGCTACCTGCGCTCACGCCTGGCGCTACAAAAGAAATTTGGGCCGTTAAGACTACTTCTGCGATCGAAAGCCCTAGATACGTCATCGTCGGTTTCCAGACAGCCAAACAAAACAAATTCACAGAAGATCCTACACACTTTGATAACATTGATATTACCAACATTAGATTAACCCTAAACGGCGAGAGCTCCCTAATGAGAGGATGCGATTAAATTTTGCAAAGAACGACTACGCTGAAGCTCACTACAACTACACCGAGTTTTATCCAAGTTACTCGAATACGCTGCAGAAGAAATCTTTACTAGATTACCTCACCTTTAGGAATCACGCTCTTTTCGTCATCGATTGCTCGAGGCGGGACGAAAGCATAAAATCGTCTACCGTGGACGTAAGATTGGATATTGAAGCTGCACAAGTTTTTCTTGATAATACCAGTGCCTATTGCATAATTGTACATGATTGTATCATGGAACACCTACCACTTAGCGAAATCGTAAAAAATCTAGCTTAAAAAAATAAATCTAAGTAAATGTTAGTTAGTCGTTTGATAATCGTCCGAGATGAAGGTTGTGGTGCTAGACATCCAGGGCTTTATGTTAATGAGTACCGATGGAGGTTATGAATTTTATCCTAAGGAAATCACGATTCAGGATGCGCGCCAAGTGAGCTATTATTTGATTAAACCGCCTACAAGTTTCCATAGTTTATCTCGACCGAATCAGAAGTATGTAAGATGTACGGAACGAAATATCCACGGCATCCGCTATTCATCTGGAGACGTCGAATATAGTGCGCTGAACGCTATACTTGAAGATCATTTGCTGTGTAACGATATAATTTATGTGAGAGGCCGTGAACAGCTGGATTATTTAGAGAAAATACTACCGCAATTGGTTCCCTCCAGCTGGCAGCACTTACCCAATGTGGTAAACGTTGAAAAATGTGAAAATTACTGGGATAACCCCCCACCACGTTTCCAAGTAGATGTACTCCGTTGTTCATATCATATGAATCCAAATAAAACAGTCAGATGCAGCAGGCGGAACTGCGAAGATCTTTTCCTTTGGGTATACAACCTATTGCCGCAATGAAGAAGAAAACAGTTACTTTCGACGAATCTAAAAATAAAGTGCATCTAATGAAAACGTGGACTTTTGCATCTACTGCAGCTCGGCGTAGATACTGGGAATTTTTTGCTGCGGATAGAGATAGATTCAAGAGAAGAATTGAAACGACTTCTAAAATTCTCAAGCCATTATTAGATAAACATCTTGAAAAAATTCGCCAACTAAAATCCGAAATAACACACTACGACAACCAGTGTAAAATGGCTAAACAGTTTCAAAAAATGAACATTCAAGACAAATGGGATGGTGTATTTACGAATCCTCATCGATTTTCCGTAGCGAAGAATGGACCTACATCTACAAGAATTGTACCAATTACGTTATAATATTATATTTATTATATTTTAATATGCTTAATATATGTTTACTTGTCCTTGTTTGTTTTATTTCCTCTCTCCCTCTACCTTTCATGAATAAGAAAAACCAGTTATAAGACTTTACAAATCATTATGTACCTCATTCGTTTATAGACAGTGGTCTGTTGCTTAATAACAATGGTCGTTTTACGTTCCAATTTCATAATTTTAACTGCAGTACTACAAAATGTGTTGTACGTACATGATATACACAACGTACACGAAATGTATGTATGCTACAGAAATGTTAGCGAGAATGATACATGCCCACATACGTTAATTCAGATGAGACGTAATATAGTTAATGGTGGAAAGCTGAGGGTCTTCGGGGCGTCAATTCCGGAACATTCTAAATTCTACAAGTTGAGAATAACGTTTCAAAATAAGTCGATTGGAGATTTTGATACCTGGAGGTCATTACCTATTTTAAACTGCTCCGATTATGAAGATGTATACGCAGACGCACTCATCG